AAGGTATTTTAAATAAAATACAAAATGCTTTTCTCACAAGAATATTTAAATGCAAGATAAAAATAGGTATTTTGTATTTGCATTTTAAAAGCAAGTATTTTAAATAAATCACATTTCTGATTGTAGGTACTTGAAGTTATAGTCAGATGTGACGATAAACACAATCGTTTAAATAGGTACCTATTATTAATTAGTTTATCTCATTCCAAAATATAAAAATATTACCTATATTACTTTATTGTAAGACTGTCACTTTTATCTCATTTCAATGTTTGATATAAGTTAATAATGTGACAGTTTAATGCTATTAGGTTGTAACAAAATTGAAGTGTTGTAATGTCACCCATAAGAAAAAAGAATAAACATTGGTACCACTTAGTAATATTTTCCAATAATTAACTATTAAAATACTTGCCTTGATGTTTAGTAAGAAAAAAAATGAGATGCCTACAGCCCCAGGGTCTGAACATGTAATAGTAGAAAGTGGTGGTTTATCAAAATCTGTTTCTTTCGTGTTTCTAATGGGCGTAGCATGGTACTGTTTGATGAAGATAGTAAGGTACGAAACGGTGCGATACGCGTTAATCGGCTTTTCTCTGTACGCCTTGTACGCCATTGTTGGTTTATTTGTGACATGGCAAAAACCAGGACAGGGTAATTGGTGCATTTATAAAAGAATTTTTCTAATTTCCGAAGCAGCCATGATGTCCATGGCTATGCCTTTGTTTGCAGCTGATATGTGGCGAATGCTGGGATTTTGTGAAATAATGGCAAATATATATGTAGTGTTTTGCTCTGTTCCGCTTTTGCTCTTTATTTTTGAGGGTGAAAATTGTGCTGGTTATTTAATACAGAAAGCTATGCATTCAGGGGTATTTTTGTTCGGGATTTTAGGTTGGTTTAGTTGTAGTATTCGTGGAATGGTGACCGTGGTGTATCACGTAGTGGGCCCCGAAGTGGCTTACTTTATCACCAAAGTAACACCACGTTTTTCTATGAGAATAATTTATAATTACTGTAAAAGTTTTCTGATTTATTGCGTTATGTTGACCTTTACCCAAGAAGAGTCTCGTTTTATTGAGTTGTTAGAAAATCTAATTTGTGACGGGATCAACTATTTATCAGATACATTCCCTAAATGTACTTACGATTACATTTTATGATTATACTTTTTTGATAAAGTGTATTTTGTAATTAGAGGCAATTGTAACCAGACCTTATTTAAATAAAAACGGAATAAATTGTTCTTAAATAAGTGCCTTACG